TTATCTTTATTTTATGAAAAAAAGGATTTTATTTTGTAAATTTAAATATTTTATATATGATTATTTTATGAAATACAGATAAATCATAAATAAAAATTCATATTTATAATATTTACAAAATAAAAATAAATAAAAAAATCTTCATTTTTTAAAATAAAAATCTAAAATCTTCATTTTTATTTTATAAATGTAAATTTTCTATTTTATGGATATAATAAATATAAATATTTTATTTATAATTATTTCACGAAGTAAAAATAAATCACAATATCTCCATTGTGAAACCTTATATTGAAGATAGAAAAAAGAATTATTCATTTGGTTCAATGACATAGAAACAATTTTCGAGTCATGGATGGCTCAGAGCTAGTTGTGCTTGGTTCGCAATCAATTGGTCGCGTGTTCAAATCTCGGTTCAAGTTGTCGCTGAAAAATTACCATTCGATCACTGACAGGATTTCAATCTTATATCATAGCTCGCTATGGTGCGTCGGTTCGATTCCAATATAGGGTGACGATTATTTTAAAAATTTTTTTTGTAAATAAATTAAACGCAACTAAACGCACGAATTCAAACCAGTGTAGATGCATTTATTGAATGAAACGCGTTTGAACGCCCTGAAATGTTGCATTTTGGACGCGTTTTAACGCGTCACGTTATATTACACAAACGCTAGAAAACGCGTCGCTAACCCTTAAAATAGTTACATGGGCCAGGTAAGTACCTATCAAGAATAAGGAATATTGTACATATCTAAAAATCTATTTCTAATCTCTCACTTAAAAAGATTTGTTTTACTGATGAATACATTAAATCATATGGAATAATTATTTATTATTATAATAACCTGATGACATATAATTTAGCTGTTCGAAGTCAATGAGTGACGGAAAGTGATGCTTTTCGACTACGATATGCTAAATTAGATGCCATCGGGTTATTCTAATACTAAATAATTATTCCATATGACTTAATGTATTCATCAGTGAAGCGGATCTGTTTAATAGTCAGGCTCTGTTATTGATAAATATGTTGAAAAATCGGAAATAGCGCATCACTTGTATATTGACGATGTAAAGTTTGGTTTTATATGTTGAAGAATAAATGTTTTAGATGTAAGCTTTAGAATAATTTCAAATGGACTTTCATATTGAATATCAATATTATAACGGATGTTAAGTGTTTTCACAAGAACTGGATCACCTATTGTCTTACGATGAGCCTCAATGATTTGATATCATAACGTTGTTTACATCCTTCTTGATTCTTAACAATATTGAGTTTAGCTTGTTCTTTAAATTTGATAAAAGTTGACAAAGTTTTTTTGTATGCGCAGGATCTTATGAAAGTGTAACCACAATATCTTAAAGATCAGATGATAGAGCAAGTGATTGACCATGTTTTATTTTGAAGGTTACCTGTTTGGCTGAAGAATGAACCTACTCGAGAAAAAAATGGCTAAAAATCAGATTTAAATCTATTATAATGACACCAGTTTAATATGGTTGTAATCAAATTTTTCTGCCTTAAAAACAGTTTTAATTTAATTTTAATCTACTTTTAATCTATTTTAATCGGTTGGCAAACTTTACTCAATTGAAATTGATTTAAATAATCAGGTGTAATTGAGTTAATTTAAATTATCGATTAAAAGAGATTAAAAAGACTAAAACCAAATGAAATCTGTTTTGAGGGTCGAAACATCTGCTTAAAATCAGATTAAAATAGTGCCATGATAATAGATTATTAATCCAAAAATAATTGATTTTAATCTGATTTTGAGTCATTTTTTTAGATGAGAATTGAAGCATTTTAATTAACCGTAGCAAATGGTAATTAATCATCACAATCTGCTTTGTGTGAATTTGATAGAATTGCGATTGTTGAATCCTTAGTCGATATATATTTTTTAAATTGATCACCTTTATGAGATTGATATGATGCCCAATAGAAATATGCTTTTTCAAAATCTTTCATTTATTCTTTCGTAATCAATAATGAAAAATGAGTTCCATTATCAATAAGTATACAACGAGAAGGAACAAAAATCTTTTAATGATATTCTTTAAGAAATAGAATAGCTATTTAAGCTATATTATCACGTACAGCTGTTACAATTATGAATGTCAATAAAATGTCGGTGGGATATATGATGCATTTATTTCTACGTAGAAATGTTTGAGTAATAGAACGAAGATAATCCATTGATACTAATTATCATACTCCATCAAGTGACATTATTGACTTTAATATATCGAAAGGTTTTCGTCGACAATAATTGTATTGAGCACAAAGAATACATCACTTAAATTGATTATTAATATCTGTATACATAGGAAGCTACAACTAACATGTTTTTATTTGGCTCATATAAGTTACATTTCTTTTGACATGAGTACCATTGGCTATAGTATCATGATATATTTTAAATATTGTTTGTCGAGGATCACCATGGGGTACATAGGAAACTGGAAAATTCAATACATGCATTGAAAAAGTAATTTTTCATGGAATATTGCTTATGTTGTTTAATGTTATTAACAATATTGTTGGCATCATTTTCATGTTTCTGAATCTGTATTAATCGTTCAATGGAAAACGGAATTATTCGATTCTCTTCAATTAAAGTATTCAATAACTAATCAGATGATAAAGAGATAAGGGAATCTCACACGAATCTTACAATATTTTTTGAACTCTCAGAAATATGATGTCATTTGGCACAACAAATTGGAAAAGCAGCAATAATAGAAGATCTTTTTTTTTAAATACAAGTCAATCTGTATTGATTTAGAAGCAACCAAAAAACTTTCATGTGAATCTTCTTCAGCATCGTCAACTAGAAATTGTGGTAAGTAATCAGCCGCACTATTCATTACACCATGAATATATTTCACCATGAAATCATATTCTACAACTTTTAATCTCGCACTTTTACATCGTTCACTAATTTGAACCTTTCGACTTAATTGTCCTAATGCTTTGCGATCAACGTTCTAGATAAATTTAATTCCACTTTAACAATTATGCCATTAATCTAATGCGAAGATAAAAGCATAACATTCTTGCGCCATTGAAGACTATCTATGTTGTGTTTGAGTAGATGTCTTAAAAAGATTAGCGACATATCTATCTACCTCTGGTTATATTTGTAATATAACTGCACCAATTTCCTCATCAGAAGCATCTTCTTGTACTTAAAAAATGAATCTGTTACTTAAGGAAGATGTAAAACCATGTTAGGGTGTAAGAAAATGCTTCAGTTGTTCGAAGGCTTTAATTTCTTCAGCTATTAATGTAATTATAGTTCTTTGTTTTTTCTTTTTATGAAATCTGATGGTTGAGACGAATTTTCTAAGCCATTCAGCGATTTTAGAAAACCTTGGTATAAACTTTCTATAATAATTAGCTGCTTTAGCAAATTAGCAAGATTTACCGGCAGTTGGTGAGTTGTTCTCTTCGGTAGACGTACCTGAAAATAACCAGATTTAAAATCAAACGCCATATTACACATTTTATCAGCTAGTTGGTCGGAAATGTTATTGATTTGAGAAAGTGAAAATTCATCATTGACTGTAATCGCATTTAAATGACGTAATCAATACAAAAACTCATTATTTTGTCTTTCTTCTTGACAAAAACAATATTAAATGACTACGTAGAAATTCATTCGTCTATTTCTGCACAGTCAAATAACTTTTGTGTTCCGTGAGACTTGTTGTGTTGATCGTCGCTAGAAGCAGATTATTGTTTTGAATATAAATAATGAAATGATCACAGCTTTTATTGCTGATTGTGCATGAATAATAATAATAAATAATGTAGTATCAAATAAAATTTTATTTCGCTATAATATATCATGAAATATTAATCAATGATTGAGATCATCTATATGTGCTGTCGATTCGAGTATTTCTCTCCATATCTGTACCGAATAATATTGTGCTCATAGATGTTTCTGACGATCATCACAGAAAAAACAATATTCCTTACATCAATAGAGATAGCTATTTAATGTTGCTTGATCTGGATTGTCTTTCGTAGTTAAGACAATTATGCTTTTTTGAATTGTAAGAATGTCGAGATAAAAATTCAAGATTTTTGTTCGAAAAGGAATAATGCTCTGTTGCAGCTTGTGAGATTGAAAATGTTGAGAGAGTTACACTGCGAAAAGTGGGTGCTTATTCATGTATTTTTTGCTAAGTTTTGTCAACGGTTTTGAGCATTAATCAGTAAAATTTTTGTTTTATTATTATTAATATTCGGTTATATATGTGATATGAAAATAAAATTTGACATATGGCGTCCTTATAACTCAAATGTTAGACAATCTGTAATCAGCTATTTTATTTTGTATTTAAATTGAATGCTAACATTATCATAAAATTAGACCATCAAAATGTGCGAGAAATGAAGCTGTAATAATAATATGAGGAAGTAACCTTTTATTATTTTTCTTAGCTCGATATCTGGTTCTGCTAGCCGTTATGAATATTTTTTATATATAAAATGAATCAAATGTATCGATAAATGATTGAGTAAATGAATGAAAATTTAATGTTATAAGAAAAAATGAATCAATGAGAAGGGACGAGATTTTTATGAAAGAGTTTTTTGTCAAAAAGCATCATAATGTTATATATTTGGAAAATCCAAAAAATGATGCAGAATGTGGGTATGGATACACATGTAGCTGACAACGGATAGATAATGACAAAATGATTCCTTGTTTTCCATTATTTCATAAAGTATATGCAATAATAATTTTAATCCATTCTTTGCATTATTTCTTGTATCCTCAATAAATTGCAATGCATTAGCGGAACTAACGCTTTAATGCCTGATAATTCATTGAATCTCCATGCATTACGATGTATCATTAAAAATAATATCTAAATGGTTGATAGTGGATTATTTCACGACAAAAGATAAATGATAAAATGCAGCTTAAAAAATTCTAAAAGAATATGTGAGAGAGTGTCTATTTATAAAAATTATTTCAAGAACATTCTTTTAAATTTAGAAATATAGAAAAAGTCGAAACTTTGTTGTTTTGATACAGCCGTATTACTGAACATTTCGCTTCACAGCTGTTTATCAATACGACAAAACGAAAAAAATTCTTGCGTTCTGCTTGTCTTCTGCCTGAAGACAGCGGTATCCAAGAGGTTAAATTCAATATATTGGAATAACGTTGATTTTCTCGTTGAGTATCTTTCCAGAATTGTAAAATTTTTAATTGTGTTTTATGAGTATCCGTTAATATTTCAAATGAATAAATTTTTTCTTTAATATCAATATTATTCATAGATATTATAATGTTTAATGAGCATTGTAAATCAAATGTTCTTTCATATGCGTAACATGCGCCAACAGTTAAGTCGCATGATATGCCCGCAAGAACATCTAATATTTGCAATCCAGCATATATAGTTGTGCCTCTTGTTTCTATGCTGCCCGCTTTATCATCAATATCATATGTAATTGCACAACCAAAATCAATTAATTTTATATGATTAGTATCATAATCTAACATTAAATTTTGTGGACATATATCACGATGAATAACATGACAATTGTATAAATCATTAATTATATCAAGCAGTTGTCTTAATTGTTCTAATGATAATGATTCAATAACTTGTAATTCTTTCTTAAAGAATAAATATTTATCTAAATATAAATATAAACAAAATTAAAGAGAATATTGAATATTATTTCAATAATCATAATCGAATTTAGATGTTTGCATATCAAACTATTTTTCTTGTTAATTCATATTGAATTAAGAAAATATGTACGACAGATTATTGAGTTTTATAACATGAATAATCAATTAGAGAAAATTTTCTTTTTATTATTATTTTTTTCATCTAAATGACGAATTTTTAACATAGAAAACTCTTTAGTTAAAATCTTCAAAATTATTTCAAAACATTTTTTTCTGTTGTCTATAATTCAGCTGGATTTTTAATTAGAAAAATCATGTCAATCAATAAATGATTTAATAAAATTCTTAAGATTAAATATATTTTAATCGAATTTACTTTAAAAACAAGTTTTTTTTTTTTAATAAATGTAATTTCACAAAAAATCTTTCATTTCTCTTTACTTTCTCGTTTTCGTAAATCTTTATTTTATCCTGTAACAAGAAATAATATAATCAATGAAATAAATTTTACGCATCATAAGAATAATGTTTGAAAATGAACGTGAAAAAAACTCAAAAAGAAATCGGTCAATTTTTCTTTTTTCTGTCTGATAAAAATTCTGTTTACGTGTAAATTTCAAAACATTTTCTATTATTGCTGATTTGTTCATCAATGAAAATAAATAAATAAACAAACTTAATCAACATTACGAAATGGCTCAAGATATTCAATGTTTTTATTAACTTTAACTCTTTATCTTTGTTAACTAGTCAACATCGAATCAATATTTTCATGAATTTAGAAAAGAATTCGAGATTAATTCAAGTAAATATATTTTCTTTTAAAAGATATTTTTCATATTTTCATATATTTCTCTTTTCTACAATAAAATTTATCTTATTAAACTATAAAAATTGTTTAGATTTTAATTTGTTTTCTTAGATATGATAAGATTTTTAAACTTATTCTCAAAAGGTCCTTTGAACTTTTTCTTTTCATAGAAAAAAAAATAAAATTCGAAGACATAAATTCCTTGGGTATGGGTGTGTGGGTGTCGGTGTGGGTGTGGGTGGGTGTGGGGTGCGGGGTGTGGGGTATGGATGTGGGTATGGGTGTGAGTGTGGATGTGGGTATGTCTATCTTATATAAAAACTCACACCCACGCCCACACCCACACCCACACCCACATCCACACCCACACCCACCTACATCCACACACCCACACCCACCCACACTCACACACCCACACCCACACCCACACCCACACCCACTTCCACACCCACACCCACCCACACTCACACACCCACACCGACACCCACATCCTTCATTAATTTACATTTCTGAGTAACTTATCATATAAGTGAAGACACATTATCATGAATCAATAAAATATGTAGAGGCAAAGCTTGAACAAACATATAGTTCGATGATATAAACAATAATTAAACGCTATGAAAGAGACAAGCAATGCTTGAACTATTCAAGTGGTAACGTACCATTAGCAAAATTTGAATTATCGGGTATGATTCTGGTAATATGATGTTAATTGAAATTCGTATAATAGATTTCTATCAAAACTGAACTAGCCCTCAATAAGATAAAGTATTCTAATGTGAAAAGAAAAAATAACACTTGTACCTCGAAATATTTGTTGCTATAAATTTAGCAATTTATTCTGTTATAATAGGCAAACTGTAGAAGTAATAAGATTCAAGAAAAAATTTCAAAAGATTCACAAACTCTAAAATCATAAAATAATTTTAACAGAAAATCAAACTTTCTATATAATTATTTGAAAATAATGAGAGCGCAATTTGAAGATCAATAATAAAGAATTCGAGTTTAAGATAATTTTTAATTTTTATCAGCGCCTCAAAACTCTTGGTAAAGAATATAATGAGCTGTAAGTCTGATAAAAAAGATTATCGAAATTAATTCAAAAGTTTAGCGATAAAATTTAGTAAATACTGATCGACAATATCTAAACATCCGTTAATTATATCATAATTATATCGTTAGTCTTCATCCTATTATGTCATTTGTGGCGTCAAAACAAGTTGCTTCTGTATAGTATATCATGATTGGAATGTCGTCACGAGTTACATTACGAATTCTTTTTGCATGCGAAACTCGTAAGAGTCTATAACACATCATTCTCTATTTGGAACTTCCCGAAATATATAATAAAATCTTGCAGAAATTTTGTATGATCTTAAGGTAATTTACGGTAAATGGTGAAGTTCCTCACAATTTTATAGGATTCGTTTGGCATTTTTTTTGCCCGTGTACTCCGGCTCTAATAGCGTTACATTTACCTAATAATCATTAAAAAGTCTTTGAGAAATTCTCTCAAAATCTAATGAACCTCGGGAACAATTTTATAAAACTGTACGTAACCGTTGTCTGGGTGACCATGAAGTTGTCAGTTTCTAGTGTTCTTGAGATCGTGTATGATATTTCTAATGGTAGCTCGGTCTGAAAAAGTCCTTTGTAGTATGTCTTTTTTGCTGAGAAATGATCGCAACAATTATAACGGGAGTCTTCATCTGTTTTCGGGATCCTGAAAATTCTGCTTTCGTGTTTGCTCATTCCAATTTATTAAATATTCTGAAATGTTCTTTAACTAATGAGAATAGTTTATTGAAAAAGATAGTCAGCTTCATTAGAATTACAATGAAGACAATTTATGAAGTACACCTGCGAACAACCATTTGATAGTAAACTCCACGTTGTTCCATCAAATCTACATGAGTACCACTTTCTATGATATATCCTTTGTCAAGAATGCAGATCAAATCACATGAACGAATAGTCGACAAACGATGAGCAATGATCAGTGAAGTTCGAGTTGGATCATCTGTTTCAGCTTTTTCAAGAGCTTCTTGCACAATCTAAACATATCAGAAATGACTTTTTGATGAGCAAGTATCACAAGAAAACAAACCTGTTCATTGTATGAGTCCATGGCACTTGTTGCCTCATCTAATAGCAAAATTTTTGGTTGACGAAGAAGAACTCGAGCAAGAGCAATACGTTGTTTCTCACCACCTGATAAGTGACCACCTTTCATACCTACTTTGGTCTCATAGCCCTGTTATCACAATACAACGACACAATCAAACATCATCTAGTATATTTTTTACTCACTTGAGGTAACTGCTGAATGAAATCATGAATGTTAGCTTTGGTGGCTGCATCAATAATATCTTCAATCGAAGTATTTTCTCTACCATATGCTATGTTCTGAGCAATAGTCAAATCAAATAAGATAGGTTCTTGACTAACAAGACCAAGACATGAGCGAAGCCATTGGATATTCAGTTGTCGAATGTCAACACCATCGAGATACTAGATTTCATTATTCGAATGTTAATATAAATATGTTGACAGAACAAAATAGAAATACTCACTATTCGACCTTGTATAGGATCGTAGAATCGTTCCAAGAGCTGAATAACTGTGGATTTCCCACAACCAGACTCCCCTTTATAAATAGATTTTATAACCATTTTAAATGATCAAAAACTGACTTTGACATACCTATAAGAGCTACACGTTGACCTGATTGACAAATAGAAAGATTTAATTGTAAATTAAACTGAAAATAGATAGAATAAACTTACCAGATTTGATGATCAACTGAAATTTATTCAGAATAAAGGATTTCGGTCGAGATGCATATGCAAATTTGACTTGATCAAATTTAATCTCACCTTTGAAATTACTCTATCATCAAAACATTTTAACCATGAGGTAAAAGTAATTTGTTTACAACTCAGGTTTTTACTAAATAAATTACTCACCAATTGTTCACCGTTCATGGAACAATTGTCGATAGCTGATGTTCGATCGAACAAATTGAAGAAACTTCGAGCTGCTGATAATGAGTCACTCATCTGTCGTGTTCTAAACAAAAATACTTGTCAATGAGAAACCTATCAGTACCATTACTTACGAAGTCATAATGCATCGTAAAGATTCCAAAGCAAATATATAATAGCCAAATACTCTAGAATGATATGCAGATAAAATGCATGCTAAAGATTTCTATTTGTTTACATAGAGATATTGTTCATTTCGAGTTCGTTGTGTTCAACAAGGATGCGAGCTTGCCAATAGAGAACCAACAAGATGAATGGCCCTATTCCCCAATAGATGCTTTCTAGTAAGGAGGATATGAGTATATCATTTCGACGAATTCTATGAGAAAATAATGCATAGAGAATATGAAGAAAAGCGATTGAAAAACTGACTTGAACTCTTTAGAAACTAAACTTGAGAATTGACGTAGGAATTCTGCTTCGCTTGCCAACTGTTTCACTGTACGCATATTGTGCATGATCTCGACTGCAAGCTATTAAGAAAAGAAAATTCAGGAGCAATATTTCAATGTACATAATATTGTAATCAGAAGCTGTGTCTTACCGAACTTGCTAGTCCAAGAATATAATCAGAATGTTTATTCAATCGAGCTTGCCAACATATTTGCATGAAAGAAACAACAAACAAAGATACTATAAACAAGATCATAATTAATGTCAAATGCCAACTGAAAAAAAATCCGAGAATAATGCCAATTCCAAACATCGCAACTGATTCAAAAACAATGCCTAGACGAGAGCCAACCATCTGCTGAATAGCTAATGCATCGGACGAAAGGCGATTACAAATAGTTCCAGAACTATTTTCAACAAGATCAAAGAAGGCCATTTCTTGACGTAGATAGTGTGCAAAAGCTTTCGTACAAATACGTTCTGTTAATTTTGAGCCAGATATAGCAAAAGCAGTGTACTATTGATGCAGAAAATATTAAACCTTTTATGAAAAGTGTTCCTACTTGGATCAAGCGGATGGTCAAAAATACAACTCCCATCAACAAAAAAAGAAGAGAAAACTTGACGATTTCATGATGTCGTTCTTCATAAGTACATGCTCCAAATACCTGTGAACGAGCAATTAAGTTAATGTTAATCGTGTTGTACAAAAAAATGACTTACAGAAATTGTATTCGTAAGTAGAATAACCTGGATGGATTGACCTATTCCACTAATGATGCACATTGCACAACCGATCAGAATGATGATCCACTCTGGACTGTTCATCAACAAAAGTCGAAAGAAAATAGGTCGACGATTTGTTGTTGATGATGCCTATTAAAAGTACTCTATACATGTAAAAACCATCTTGATACAAATACATTCATGTTCTTTACTTTATCTCCATCTTCAAGTTCTTTTTCACTACAACATCGAGAGCGTTGAGCTATTTAATAAAAAATGATCTTGTACGAAGCATTGTTTTGTTAAAAGTAACTTATTTACATACATATTTGTTGTTGATCATCATCTTCTCTTTGTATGACGCTTGTTGCTTCATTGATATCATTTTCTGTTTTTTCTCTCTGTTGAGCTTTCATCATCTCGTGATATCGACTTCCTTCTTGTGACATCAGTATCTCATGTGTTCCTTCTTCGATAACATGTCCATTATGCAACACATAAATGTGATGTGCATTTTGAATTGTTGCCAAACGATGAGCAATCACAATAGTCGTCCGACCTATATAAAACTGGAAATAATAGAATTGAAACAGATAGATATGTCCAAACCTTTACAAGCTTGATCAAGTGCTTCTTGAACAATCTTTTCATTGGCATTATCAAGAGCACTTGTTGCTTCATCTAACAAAAGCAAGGCTGGTTGTTTGACAAGAGCACGAGCTAAAGCCACACGTTGCTTTTCACCTCCACTCAATTGAACACCACGTTCACCAACGATTGTATCATATTTCTATGAAAATAGAAAACAAAGCATATATCATTAAAAAAGAACATTCGATACAAACATTAGGTAATTTCATAATGAAATCATGTGCATTAGCTTGACATGCTGCTTCTTCGATCTCAATTCTTGTTGCATTTTCTTTACCAAAACGAATATTTTCATAGATACTTGTAGCAAAGAGAATCTACATAGAACAATATCAAGTGGAAAAAAAATTAGAATACAAAAAGACAAACTTACAGGTTCTTGACTAACTATACCAATCTTTTGTCGGAGTTGTTTGATATTACAATCGGTTATCGATTGATCATTAATTGTAATGTGACCAGATAAAGGTTCATAAAAACGAAGCAGAAGTGAAATACATGTACTTTTGCCTATTCATTCAACAAACGATAGACTATAAATCTTGACTTTGATTTTTTTTTTTTTTGTGAAACACTCACCAGATCCATTTGAACCGACTAAAGCTGTTATCTCACCAGCACGTGCCATCAAAGTAAGATTTCGTAAAACTAAGATATCGGATCGAGTTGGATAGGCAAAGTTGATATTATGGAAATGAATATCACCATTCATGTTGATAGGTTTTTCATAACCAACAGAATCTTGCAATATTTGTGTCTCATTCATACTTGCCTTCTGTTCCTATATGAGATAATGATGAAGAGATAAATTTGTCGATTAGATACAACTATACTTCGTCAATCAATCGGAATACAGGTGCTATAGCACCTCGAGCTTCTTCCAATAGTTGAAAGAAAGGACTAACAAAGGCAATATTAGTAATGATTCGTGCCAAAGTAATGACTATCTACTCGAACATGGAGAGACAAGTGGTTTTCGAAATCTGATTGATAAACTGAATAACTCACTACAAGAAGATCACTAAAAGTGATTCTCTCATGTTCTTCATGATTCATGAGAGATGAGCCAAAAGCAAAACCAACTGAATAAATGATATATCCTATTAGATAAATCCATCCAGTCAGAAGGCCAAACACAGCAGCCTTGCGTATACTACTCCATCGAGTTGCCTGTAATTTGCTTTCGTATCTATATATGTAATAAAATCAGAACATGGTGATAACTAAAGGGTTACAAAATTTATTTGTCAATAGATATATTTCTTACCTTTTTTCTTCGAGTTTCTCACCATTGAGTGAAAGCACAGTGCGAAGAGAACTAAACACTTCTTGAACAACTTCTCCCGCTTTTGAGTACATATCCAATTCGACTCTTGTTTCTTTTGCAGTGAGCTTTTAGGAAAATTATAAGCTAAATCAATAATCAGCTGTTGTAATTACCTTTGAAAAAACAAATGATCCAGCTATCGTTAATGGTATTGTGCATTGTATGACAAGTGTCAGCTTCCAATTGATGATTAACGCAACACAAGCACTGATAATTGTAGAAAATAATGCTACGAGGAACATTGATAGTTCAAATCCGATGCCTTTGCTGAAAGTGTCAATGTTGCTATGAGATGAGAGAGCTAGATGTTATTTCAATTGTAAATATTGACAGAAAGTTGCTTACTTGAACAATTTGACATTGAACTGACTCATCGAATTTATATCACAATACAAAACGTTCTATGTACGAGAGAGAGAGATAGAGAGAGAGAAGTAAATGATACACATGTGTATCAAACAACTACAATGAGATTGTAACAGATACAGCTG